AGGTGGCCGCGGCCGCGGGCACAGTGGGCACCGGCACCGCCAGGGGCTTGGCCGCACCGCCGCCGTCGGGGGCGTCTCGGCCCTTGCGGAGAAGGTTCTCGCGGTTGCGCTGCTGGACCAGAGGGTCGGGGCCGGTGGACGCCGGCTTGGGCGTCACCTTCTTGCTGCCTTTTTTCTTCTTGGCGGACGCCGCCACTAGGCGCTTCCAGGTGAGCGCCGAGATGAGCACGGACGGCCGCTTGAGCCGGCTCTCGCCTTTGCCGCTCTTGCCTGCTGACGGGGCCCCGTAGCCCCCCAGCGCCTCGTCCCCCGCGGGCGGCGCCTTCTTCTTCTCCTCCGGCAGCCCGCCGGGCCTCCGGCCCTTGGCCGAGGAGGCAGGGGACAGCGACAGCACCGTGCCCATCCTGCAGAGCGGGGCCTGCGCCCGGGCTCCGGCGGGAGCCCTGGGCGGCGCCGCTGCTGCTGCAGCCCCGGGGGACCCGGCGTGGGGGGCCTAGCCCCGGCCCGGGCGCGCGTGCGGGCAGGGGAAGGAGCTGCTGGCGGCTCTGAGTCTGAGCTGCGCCAGCTGCAGCGTCAGCCCCACCCCTTGGGCCCCTTCTTTCGCCGCGCCGCGCCCCGCCTCGTACAGCCAATCCTCGCCAGAGCTGCTCTCCTGATCGGCAGCTCCTCTGACCAATAGAATCTCTCATGCCAACCCCAAGTCCCGCCTTACAACCCACCCTCTGTCCTAGGTCCTTTCCCTTCACCCGAAGGGGAAAATGGGAAAGGGGGAGGAGGTGGCTGTCGTGAGAGGGTCTCCCAGGGTCAGAACTGAGGAGGTGAGGAAGAAGGCTTCTCCCACCTCCTCCAGGTCCTAGGGCCGTGGGTCAGCTTGCTTTGATGCACCGAGTCGCCCTAGCAGAGAAGCCAGAGGAACAGACTTCCTTTCCGCTGCCCCATCTTTGGGTGCGTGTATAGGGGGTGCCTCCTGGCAGCGAGTGCCCTCATCCCGACGCCCGCGTTCCAGCTGGGTCGCGCTGCACTGGCTCCTCCAATCTGACCTCACGATGGATTTCCTCGTTGCCCACCCACCCACACCCCTAGGACCCTAGGGAAGGGGCAGCAGGCACATTCTTGCTCTTCTTCTTGGCAGAGGGAGGTGGCAGCAAAGACCTCCTGCAGGTCAGAACCTGCTTCCTTGGGGGTCTTTGCGTAGCGAAGAGGGGCAGAAGGAGGAGCAAAACCTTCAGGATTTGTCCCCAGTGCCTGTTTGCCAGCATGATTCTCTGCAGTTGAGCTGTGGCTCTGACCTCTGGGAAGCTTTGGTTTGTTATCCTCCACCAACACACTGACACCAACACTCAGGTGAGTGGTAGACTAGGTTCTTGGAAAAACACTGGAAACTGGATCAGTTGGTACTCCCAGACTTGGACAGTGGTTGGGGTCTTCTGTGTGGAAAAAGGCCCACGAAGTTGACCCAACCTCTAGCCCAGTCCTTGGTCCAGGTTGAGGTGAGTTTTATTATGAAATGCTTCCTGCTGCTCAGGTCCTACTGTCCCTAGCCCCAGCAGTGACCTTTTAGTCTGCATCCTACCTATGTCTCTCTGGGTCTGTCTGTTCTCTTCTCAGTGCCCCTAGGGCCTTTGTCTGGCTTTTGGACTCTAGTTCTGGGCCTGTTCTGTATGCCTTGTAAACAGTGTCCTTTCCTGCTCTCTGTGGCTCCCCATCACAGGAGTCTTCATTTCTTACACAGACTTTGGACAGGCATATGGATTTAACAGGGAGAGCAGGCTCTGCCTATGAATTCAGTAAAATCCTTAGAACTATCTCTGGGGTTGCTGCCCTGCTCCTCATAGCCCCAACACAAGTCCAAGGATCTACCAATCCTGTCAGGGCCGGTGTGTGCCCACATTGCAGAGTCCCCTCCGCCTGCAGCTCTAGCCACCAGAGGCGCCAGCTTTTCTCAGCAGCCTCACAACCCTGGCTCACTCATACCTTCCCGAAGGCCTGCAGCCTGGTTGTCTTGACTCCCTGCACCTTTACCGAGGCCAGGGTCACACACAGACTTGTACCTTTTCCCTGGGAGGTCTTAATAGGGTCTCTCCGGCTTCCTTGCATCTGATCTTCACTCTTGCAGCTCAAGCTGACCTGCTGAACCTCTTATCCCCCACCTCCCACAGTTGCAGGAAAGTGTTCCTTCTTCTTAGCTCCTGTAATTGGCCCCACTTCCTCCTCCAAGGCCTTCTGAGTCAGCTTTTATTTGACACCCAAGGAACAGTTGGTGCCACCTGTAGCTAAGGACAGGCCCCGCAGAGACTGAGTTGCTGGCGAAAACCCTGGGTACGTGGCTCTGAACGGCACCTGGATCATCCCAGCTCTGCTCTCAGGAGTCCCTTGCTGACGTAAGGCCTAGTGCTGGTGTCGTTCAGCACAAGATTGCACAGATATCACCGCTGTGCTACCCCTACCCTAGGCCCAGCTGTGACTTCCTGTTGTCCTCTTGGTCAGAATCAAGAATTTCTTCCTCTGCTTCAGGGTCCCAATATCAGGTGTCTCATCAGAGGGTCTCATTCGTCCCTCTTTGCTCTTCACCTTCCCCCATCTCAGACCCTCTCTCTGGCTCATTTGCACCCCTTGCTCCTGTTCTGATTATCACTCCTAAATCTCTGTGCCAGAACAGGCCAGAACTCTCTCTTCCCAGATCACCTGTCTAATTCTATGGAGCTCTTGAAATCCCACTTCCTCCAGGAGGCCTTTCTGGACTGCCTAACAACTTAGTTAAGGGGTAGGTAGGCCCCTTAGTTAAGGGGTAGCCCAAGATGTACAAGATAAATATGGATAGAGTTTTATTTATTTATTTATTTAGGTGGTACTGAGGATTGAACTCAGAGCCTTGTGCATGCTAGGCAAGCGCTCTACCACTGAGCCACATCCCCAGCCCTGGATAGAATTTTAAAGGACAAACAGAGAAACTAATTAAAACAGATCCATAAAGAGTGTCAGCATTGCTGTTATATATAAGCTGGAGACACTAAGGGATGAAAAGGGGTTATGTGTCTACAAGATGAAAGCTGAGAGGAATAAAAGTAGTAAAACCAGGAAGACCCCATGGGGCAGGTGGGCTTTACCAAGCAGCAATGCCTTTGCTGCCACATCTGCAACTGTGCTTTTCTGGTTGGGTTAATTTAGTGTCTCTACTCTGTGCTTCACTTAGCTATATTCAAATATGGACAGTGCTTCTCTTCTGGCCATTTCCAATATGCTCCTTTGCACAGTGCTGGCTATTTCAGACTTCCCTAGATAGGAAACCCTCTGAGGCTAGGCTGCCCGTCCTTAACTACCATCACTCTACAGTTTACATAGAACAGCACTCTGTCCAAATAACATGTCCTTGCCAGGTATGGTGGTGCACACTTGTAGCCCCAGCATTTGAGAGGCAGAGGCAGGAGGCTTGTAGGGAGTTTGAGGCCAGCCTGGCCTACAGAGTGAGTTTAAGACCAGCCTGAACTACATAGTGAGATCCTGTCTCAAAAAAAAAAAAGAAAAAAAAGTAATGTGTTTTTCCCAAAGGCTCTTCAAGGCAAAACTGCAGGCCCAGGCCAAGAGCTGCAGGGCCCAGAGGTTTTAGCCCACACAGGACTGTGGCCTTAATAATGAGGATCAACACCCATTTCCCCTGGGAAGGGCCCTCACCCACCTACCTGGATAGGTAAGTCCCATCTTCAAGAGAATTCTCCTGGCAATGCAGTTTGGACTTTTCCTCCCTTTGGCAGTTCCTATTACCACTCTGAGGGGTAATAGTCTAGGAGGCAGGAATCGGAAGTTCTAGTCCATGGCCAGGTAGTTGTACGACCTTGGAAAAGTCATTTCAGCTTTCCGAGTCTCTGTTTCTCCATATATGAAAGTGCAGAGATTCTGCATGGTTTACTTTTATTATCAGATCAAAGTGAAAATCAAAAGAATAAAATAATGTTTTAGAAACTGTACTGAAAGAGTATTTCTAAAATCTTTTCCAATTCTGTTTTGATTTTAAATCAAATCTGGCCTACAAATCTGTTATACTCTCTAGCTCTAGCACTGTCTGGTTCTCCTTAATCTGTTTCTGTCTGACGGGCTCAGTCTTTGTGTGCACAGCATCCGAGCGAAGCCTGCAATTCTGCAGTTCAGCCTGGGAGACAAAAGAGAGGGGAGCTTGGGCTCTCAGAATGTAAATCTCCCTAGGTCCTTCCAAGCTTTAGAGGGCCTCCCCCAAAGCGGGAGAGGTGGAGAAGAGGCCAAGAAGACCGAGGTGCAGGGTCTTCCCAGTAAGTACGAAGGCCGGAGATCCCAGACCCTAAGGTCACTGCTCCCCCATGTCTACAAGGGGCTCTTATGAAGAGGATAATGGCGACACAGGTTCTTAAACAGCCAGAAGGAGACCCAGCTTGTGCATCTGGATGTCTGGATCCTGCCCACCTCCTGAAACAACCTTCATGGATTTCACACCTCTATCCTAGGCTCTCAGTTCCAGAGGTGTGCGAAGGGGGAGGGTATGCACCAGCCCCCCATCCCTCTCTTTTACTCAGGAAGTTGGGTGGGGATGTAGTGGAGGGGAGCAGAAACCCTCCCCAGGTAACAGAGGAGAGTAGGGGGAGAGGAGATGAGCAAAGAGAAGAGATGAAACGGACAAAGGAGGTGCCAGGAACTGCAGGAAGGAGACACCTCCATTCTAGCCTCTTGGCCAATGACCACAGGCTCCTTGCTAGAAGGATTTAATTAAGGAGCCCAAATACAAGTTTTTTAGGGTTGAGAATAGGGTTGGGAGCACAGAGGAGGAATGTGATACCCTGGGGTGGAGAGAAGGAACTGATTCTGAATTTTGGAGGGCCCAAGATGGAGGGAGAGAAAGGATAGAGGTAAGCTGGGGGCTCCTTTTCCCTGGTTTGAGCACTGCTTCCTTCCTTGGTGTCAGCCCTCTCCCACTCTCAGCTCTGAGCTTCCTCCCTAGCTGCCTGGCTCCCGCTTTCACCCTGATTTGCTGCCCCCTGAGAGCAGCCCTCCCTGGCCAACCCTCCCAGCCCTCCCGGCACTGCTTCTCAGTTTACCTTCTCCTGCATCCACCAGGTCCCTTTCTGGCCTCCTCCCCTTCACCCCACACCCCAAGCATCACCCCCACCTGTCTCCTCATTGGTGCCCAGGATAGCACTACAGATGTAGGAGCAGATCTAGAAGGGCGGGGGTGGTGGCTGTTGCTTGGCTGAGATATTCTTAGCCTGTCTGGGGGCTGGAGCTGGAATCAGCGTTTCCATCTCAACCAGGCAGGTGGCTGCTCGAAGCTGCTACTGTGTCTGGGTCTTCATCTAGTGCTACATCCCTTACCCCGTCCTGATTTCACAATGGTACAGACTTTGAGAAGCCTGCCTTCTCACACCTGTGCCTGGGCGTAAAGGTTCCCTCTGCACCTGGCCTATCCTGGCAGGGTCAGAAACTCAGCTCTAGGAGGCTCTTGGGGAAAGAGGAGGGCCTTTGAGGACTCCTCTTAGATGTGGCCCAGAGCTGCACACAACCTTCTTCTCTCTGCTCCAAGGCCCACTTTCATCTGCCCTCAACAACCCCTGCAGGGTACTTGGT